CCTGGTGCTTTGTTCCCCTTTAGGGCGGAGATCGAGGCCGCCACCTCCTCCGGTGTGATGGGTGCTTCTAGAGCGTTGACCTCTCCTGTTGTCACCCTGGGTAGGTTAGTGTGGGTTAGGAAGTCAGCTATGCGGGCGTGTTGTTGGGTCTGGGCATCACCCTCCAGTGGTGAAAGGTTATATAGTTGCTGAAAGTATTCTGTAAAGGCGTCATTGATATCTTTTGGGGTGTTAACTAGTTTGTTGGCTTTGTTACGGAGCGTTGTGATGGGTTTGTATCCCTGTCTCGGTCTGAGTGTATGCGCTAGCAGTGTGTCCATTTTATTGGCTTTTTCATAGAACTTGCGCCGTGACCATAGTATAGAACGTGTTATTTCTGCTGTCATGTGCTCCCTGATTGCGTGTTGAGTGCCTTGGAGTTTGTCGTATGTGGTGGGGGATGGGTTTTGTTTATGTTGTTGTTCGAGCTTCCGCATAGCGGTTTGTAATTCTAGTAGGTGTTTTGTTCGTGTCCGTTTTTTATGAGTGGCTGCCTGTATGAGATGCCCCCTCAGTACGGTTTTGTGTTCCGCCCTGAGTGTTGTTGGGTTAACGTCTTCCGTGTCGTTGGTACTAAAATAGTCCGTGATTTTTTGTTGCGTCGTGGTAAGTATTGTTTCATCGGTGAGTAGGGTTGTGTTGAGTCTCCATGTCCAGTTGTTGTGGTGTTGGAGGTTCCCCAGCGTAATCGCTACATCAGCGTGGTCTGACCACGTGATGCTGTTTATTTCTGAGTGAATGAGTTTGGCCATACCCGCTCCATTGAGGAGGATATTGTCTATTCTGGAGTATGTGTTGTGTGGTGCCGAGTAGTATGTATAGTCTCTTGTGTCTGGGTGTTGGAGTCTCCAGGCATCCATGAGTCCAGTGTGTTGGAGGAAGGAGTGTAGGAGTTTATCTTGTCCCCCCCTACCTTGAGATCTTTGTGTCCCTGGTTTGGAACTGCGGTCGATTGCTGGGCAGGGAACAGTCGATTGCTGGGCAGGGAACAGCGTTGAAGTCACCTCCCACTACTAGAATGCCCCCTTGCAGGGTGGCGAGCAGGGATGTTATGGTGTCCCAATAAGCCCGGTCTGGGTTGTTGGGTGCGTATAAGTTTACGATATGCAGTTTAGTGTTATAGTGGGTGCCACTTATGGTTACGAATCTGCCTTCTGGGTCTATCTGTTTATGTGTCATTATAAATGGGCAGCGTTTGTGTAGGAGTATAGCTACTCCTGCTTGTTTGCGTGGTGCCCTGGCCTCGTATGTTGTGGTGAAGAGACGGTCTCCTAGTTTGATCGATGTGTCTTTAGGAATGTGCGTCTCCTGTATAAGTGCTATGTCGGCCCGTTTTGCTTTTAATTCTCGCAATAATAGTCTGCGTTTGGTAGGAGTGTTTAGTCCTTTCGCGTTTATGGATAGAATTTTCAACGTCATGGTTGGGTCTGTCTTATGGGATGCTTGTGTGTGTGTGGGGCGGAGGGTCCATACCTGTCAGGAGTCTGTTGGTCTCCCCCCTTTTCTGTTGCTGCCGTCCGGCGGTCTCTTTGGGGTATCAGGATTAGTATTTCACTCGTGCATAGTGAACCGAAAACCATAAACATGAACAAAAACATAACATAATTATGAACCATATAAAAAGGTTTATAGAAGCATATGTAGCGATGTACTTTCAGTCTGGTCTTACAATTTGCCAGAATGGAATGGGGATAAACCTCACTCCCGCAGGTCAGAATTCTGTCCTATTCCGGGGTGGGAGGCTCACCAATCCACTGTGCCTCTGTGCGAGGCGTCAGATGCAGCCTGCCATCTGGTTGGGTGCCTATCTCATCCTTTATATCTCGGGGGGAGGAGGGGGCAGGACAAGTAGTTGGGTTATTTTATTTTATTATTTTTTTTCTTTCTTTCTTGAAATGTTTCTGGTTAAGGGAAACATCTGGTTGTGTTAAGTTGCAGCGGAGCATAAGGGTGAGAGATTGCTAGACACGGCGATTGAGTGAGGAGTAAGCCAGTAGGGATCCTCTGTAGGCCGTGGTGGAGGAGGGGGGTCTGTTAGGGCAGTGTTCGTGCTATGCGGCTTCCATCTCTAGGAAGAGAAAGAGGAATGCCCACTGGAGTTGTGACCCGGGCAATCTAGTTTTCTGATTATTCGTGAGCTATCTAGGAAATACTACCCTGTTTCTATACAGACAAAGATACATATGTACTAGTGCTCAGTGGTCTTCATCTGAGTTGCGGCTCATGACCCTGGGGGTACATTATATTGCATGAGAACAGGTATTCAATGGCATTAGTGTAACTGTTGGTCACAAGGTCGTTTTCGAGGCGTAAGAGCTCATAGGACGCTCAACTTTCAAAGGCCATATCAGCCAAAGCGGAGGAGAGAACAAACACCTCTGACTCCACAAGCCCTTTCCAGTTTGGCTGCCACGGCCCCGAATTCCAAGTTCAGCGAGGAACCCCATGAACATGCGCCATATCCAATGTTACCAGTCCAGAGTGTTTGATAGTATTCACATGTACATATATTTTTCATTTTTTCCCCCTTTTTTACCCCCCCCTTTTTTTTCCTTTTTTTCCCCTCCCCCCCCCCCCTTTTTTTTGTTTTGTTTTGTTTTTTTGTTTTGTTTTGTTTTCCCTCTGTTTTTTGTGTTTTGGGAGGATGGTAATTGCCTGTTGTTTCCAGGCTGGTTTAGGTTGTGAGAGAGTCATAGCACCCCCCCCCGTAAGGATAGTCCCCGAGTGGTTACCTGACCATGAAGCCAGATTGGCAGATTATGTAAAATGTATGGAAGTCCGTGGCTCCCTCTTGGGGCTTTAGTGTCGGCGACCCGCTGAGTCCTTGGCGGTGGTCCATTCTGCGGGTAGAGTGTTGAGCTCGGGTAAAGTCTCCTGGGTCAGGGCAAAGCCTGGTGGCGGTTCCACTTGGATGCTCCTAAGGAATTTCCTCGGGTCCGCTCCTGGTAGCAGCGAGTATGTGGTTCCGGATTTGAAGGCCACTAATTTGAAGGGGTGTCCCCAAGTGTATCTGATCTCCTTAGCTTGTAGAAGTAGCGTCAGGGGTCTCCAGTTTCTTCGGCGTTGCAGAGTGGTAGGTGATAGGTCCTGATACAAGTTGATAGCTGTGTCTTGGTATGTCAGATTTTTATTTCTTGCGTATTTCATTACCGCTTCCTTCGTGGAGTAGTAGTGAAAACGGAGGATGATATCCCTTGGGGTCTGTCCCTCCACTCTGCGTGCCCGGAGCGCTCTATGTGCGCGGTCAATTGCCCAGTGTTCGTCCGGAATACCTGGGATTAGTTGTTTAAAGTACTGCTTCATTTTGTTTACCAGGTCCCCCTCGTTAGGAGATTCGGGGAGTCCCCGGAGTCTTACATTATTGCGCCTGGAGCGGTTGGCTAGATCTTCCACCATCATTTCCAGGTCTGCAATTTGTTGTCCCATGGTCCGGGAATGTGTCACCACCAGATTATGAGCGCTGGTGATTTGCTCCATTTTATCCTCAAGGGCCGCCGTCCGTGCGCCCAGTGCTTGAATTTCTGCTTTAACTGCTTTGGTGCTATTGGAAATTTCTTTGGCTAAAAAGTTTCTGACCTCCGTCAGCTTAGTTAAGATATGTGGGGTATCTTCCGTTTGGAATTCGAGTATATCACTACCCGTTGTGGATGCCGGGGAGAGGGAGCCGTGAGGGCTGTGTCGGCGGCCATCTTGGGAGGCCTGTCTGCCTCGTGGTGTCGCTAGCATTTCGGCCACTGACCTGGCAGTTTCCCTTCGATCCCCTTTTTTTTTTTTTAAGGTTTGTTTGGCTCCGGAGTGTGAGCCTGGCATGTTTCAGCTGTTGTGGCTGTCGTCTGGGTCTCGATGCTCGTGGCTGGTGCTGGATTGTGAGTGGATTGTGCGGAGCTCTGGAACTATGCGGCCATCTCGGTCGGCATCCAGACCACGCCCCCCCCAGTGGTTTTTTTAAATGCAATAGATGTATAATCTGCAATCGGACCAGTGATGCTATCAAATCAAAAACAACATCATTCACATAAAAAATTACACAGAGAATATATCAAATAAAACATTTTATTCATTGCAACACAAAAAATGTGATCTACCTCCTGGAATGCCCATGTGGCCTTCAATACGTGGGCATGACCACCAGAGATTTAAAAACAAGACTAGCCGAACATTGCAGAAATATTTTAAAAGGCTATGAAAACCATTCTGTCTCGAAACACTTTTTACAACATGGAAAGAACCCAAAATTGCTTAAATGTATTGGTATTGACACATGTAATATCCCATGGAGAGGGGGTGACATTAAAAAAGTTTTAGGGAAGAAAGAAATGGAATGGATATATAATTTAAAAACTCTTGCCCCAACAGGGTTAAACATTGATTTTGATCTTTTTAACTTTTTGTAATAATTTAAAATGTGATTTTATTGCAACCTATCATCTTCCTTGTATTTTAACTTTATATTTTTTTTTCCTATGCTTATATATACTTACTGTTATTTTATGGTTCATACTTTTATATTTTCTTCATTTTATAATTTTATATTTGTATCCACATACTTTTTTTGTTCTCATACATCTGTACCTATAACATGTCTTTTACTATATTTGTTTCATAATGTAGAGAATTCTTAATTACTATGTGATATTATGTGCATACATATTGAGGGTGCTGCTTACTGCATATGCATTTATTGAGCCTCACTACTCCTGGCTGTCTGCCTGTCTATAAAGACAGACCAGCCTGAAGGCTCTTATGTGTGTATATATATCCCCTTCTTCCTATCTAATTTTATTCAGCAGCCCTCCCTTCTTAGTTCGCATGCGTTCCTTTCGGATCAGATTTAGTCGGAACGCATGCAATTCATTTGAGCATCACGTGACGCGGAAGCAATTCTAGCTGCGCGTCATGTGATTGCTTTTTTATCTAATTTCATCCTTTATTTAACCCTCGTTTTTGTGTTAAATATTTTTATTGGTTTCACAATGCGCGTGCATATATCAAACTGGTTTATGACAAATCAGGTTTTTGTCCACGCAGGGGCATAAGCATATATGGCGGAAGCGGTGCTTTAGTCAGGCATCATGAGGCGATGGTAAATCATAGCTATTAGCATGATATCAGTGTCTTAATTGCACAATAAGTATGTTATGAAATAGGTGTACACATATAAATAAAGATAACATATGATTGCCTACGCAGAGGCCAATAATGCCCTGCATTCCTTCCATATTGTGAATTACCCGCAGCTCTCACCCGTGTAAATCTCCCCCAATGTCCGCATAGCTGGTGTGCTTGTACCTCCGGCCATGCAATCAGGCGTCTGTTCTCTGTCTGCAGCTGTCCTCATGCAGGCTTATGCAGGTGTGTAGGCCGGGTTCATCAGTCTCGGTGTTCCCGGTGAAATTTTGGCCATAGTCTGGTATCATATGGGTGCTTGGGTAGTACCCCATTGTAATGCAGCATGTAATCCGGCCCTGGGGCAAGTTGTGAGCAAGTTTTATGCCGTTGTTTAGGGCTTAAGTTCGGAGCCACGGTGTTCTGCTGCCATGCTGCTCGGCGGCCCGGCCACGCCCCCTAACCCTCGTTTTTGTATACAACTTTTATAATTGTTTTATCTTTCTTTTACGATATTGATACACATTATTTCAACTTGTTTTCAGTTCTATTATAAAACCAATATTTTGAGGACGTCATTTTGGCGGGAATTTCGAATCCCCATAGTATTATTGTATGTTATATAAACCTTTGAATGTCAGGTGTGCCTTCCTTTTATTGTTATCTACTTGAAGAAGCCTTTTGAGGCGAAACGCGTTTAGATATTTTATCAATTACTTTATAATAAATAATTTTATTTGGCATAAGACACTTTATTGCCATTTTTCTTTATTTTTTTTATTTTAATTTTGCACCTGACCTATATCCACAAGGAGCCTAAAGAATCCATAGGTGGGGATTATACCACCCAAACCGTCTACACCGAGCAGTATGAGTCTGCTCTAGAGAATGTAAGTTATTTACTTTATATTCTTACGTTTAATCATATACAGAGAGCACTATATTCTCATTCTCTCATTTTGGGTCGAATAATATTAATTGGAACATCGAATCTGGGCCAGAAACCCTCCAATCAAACAATATTCCTGCATATCCTTGAGTGGGGATCATTCCACTTCACGCGCATAATATCAGAGCTATAATCTAGCTCTGAAAAGTGTGAGTACGGCTATTTTCACTATTCTAGAATCTCATTTTCATTGATATACTGTACCATTGGAGTTCCTGTTTCTGTTTCCCTTTCATATATTCTCCACTGGATCCGAGCCTACCATTGTGAAGATTCCACACCGCCAGACGTCCCAAGACTCCTTGTCTTCCCATAAGAACCTATTATTACGGACTCTTGATAAGTGTTTTGGACTTTTTTTTTTATTGTTTAATTTTATAATTTTACACTTTATACTCTATATTATTTTATATTCTTCATATGTTTTATTATAATTTTTAGGCGCACTCTTATTCTTTTTACCTGTTTTTATCTTCTAATAACTGGGGGATTATAGGGGATCCCTCTCTGAGAAGTGCTGCCTTTTTATCTATTTGTGTGGCAGTTGAGCGCTGATTTTTCCTCCTTCTTTCAGTTTAAGGTTAAACTGCATAAGAACATGCTAAAAATACAGTTCTCCACGCTAGCTCCCAAACATAAACAAACTGCAGTTAAACAGTAAAGGGTACTAATTTTAATATACAAAAAAAATAAAAAAATCATCAGATTTAAACATGTCTGGAAACATCTTTATTTCCATATTTTTTGAGACAGCATACACTTTGGTCTTTGGAGCATCACACTTTAACACCTATTCATTTGAATACAAAAGTAATCAAGGATTATTTATAATAAAATATATACATATATAAAATAAGGCACATTAGCATATTCTTAACATATTGTTAGGATCATGGATATCCTTGCGTAAAAAAACCAAACAATTTCTGTACAGTGTTCTGTACACAAAAGCAGCAACATGTGCATAATTTTACAGGTGGGCCACACTGGATTCTGGTTTCAGAAAGTGCTAGGAGTATGTCAGACCAAATATAAGTTTGTAACGATGCCTCTTCAAGCATAAAGATGAAGTTACATTAAAGAGAGACTATAGGCACCCAGAGCATGTCATCTTATTGAAGGGGTATGAGTACTGTTACTGTTCAAGAGGTGCTTCCTGGAGTTTCATGGAGTTAGACTCTGTGAAACTATGCTGGACATCATGATTTGCATGAGGATGTTAAACGTGTTGAAAAAACACATAGGTAAGCATTGAATCAATAAAGTATTCCCTATGAGGAAGGACTATTGCAAGCGTGGTGCTCACCTCATTATGTTTTCCATCAGAGGAGCCACTCCCAACAACAAGGAAACTTGACGATGAAATCAGGTAAATATAAAAAGGGCTTATAACCCTTTAAATTGACAGTGGAGAGGGGCCGAGGGTTCCCATGGTGCTTGGAATACAGCATTGTATTCCTAACGCTATAGTGTTCCTTTAATTTAGCAAGAGAATTTTGTGTATGGACACTTCATTAACTACACTGAAGAGGTGCATATGACTTAACTATATGAATTCATTGTTTCCTTAAAAGTAAATAACATGTAACGGTCTGATCTTGAGAATAACAATAAATAAAGATTTAGACCATGTAATAATGTGCTATAGTTGCTAATTCATTTGGCACCAGCTTTAGAGCAAGTATTACTCAATAACCTAGGCTTTTTAGAAGACAAAGATGGACAGTAAAATAAAAAGAAATAGCTAAAGACATAAAAAGAAGGTAAACAACAAACACTGAGCAATATTATTCATTAGCAGCAAAATGCTTGGCTTACATAGAACCTGGAGTTTACCCACTTTTAATCAGGAAAGAAAAAGCCAGCAGGCCAGAGTAAAAGACTGTACCAAATCCTAAATGGCGGCAGAAAGATACATTCCAGTTGCCCAGATGTCCTATTTTATCCAAAATGACTTGATAATGTGAGGTAATCAGTGATTGTAACATTTACATCCTTTTGTGGTTTTAGAACTATCTGCCAGAAGCATTGCTCCTATACGATGTAAATCCTTCTGTTTTATGGCCATTCCTGCTTTCAATTCTTCCGCTCACTGGGTATGCTCTCTTCAGCAATGATGGGACCTGCTTTCAACAAATGAGAATAATGAGTATAAAACAACCAATTGTAAGTAAATGTTACCCCTTAATAGAAACAGGGGACTTGAAAAGCCTTGTATATTGGAAAAAAACATCCTCCAATTAACCCTGTGCTCTCCCTTCTGTCAGGTAGGGCCATATAACGTACCTCCCATCATTTTAAATTAACACAAGAGGACATTTTAATTTTAGGGGAGTAACTGGAAGAGTGTCCAGGGGCAGGGTTGTAATAATGCAGAACCACATGCAGCCATGGTGATTTTCTTGGAATTTGTGGGAATATCCACTGTCTGAAAAGACCACATTTGGATTTCACTAAATGTCAAAAGTGCCTGTTGGCCACTGTTTGATATGTAGGCTCAGTATGAGGGGCTCCATTAACACTCATGCATCAATCACAGGGTGGTCTGTACTGTGTAAGCCAGGGAAATCCCTCTGCTGATGTCAGTAGAGACATCAGCTAAGGGAATTCCTCTGATGTCAGTGTTGGTATCGGGTAAATGTTGGTGTTAATGGTGATTAAAGTAAGTGTAAGCTAGGTTTAGGTTAAGAAATAGCTCCAGAGTGAGATGATGGTCCGTATGGTGACACAGACACTGTCACTTCACCAAATAGGATGTTTGGGAAATAAACAGAGGCAAGTCATGACTAGATCATGTCTGTTATTTAATGCTACAAGTCCCCCAAACACCTGGGAAACATATGTGGGTATTTTTGAGAGACACAGTAGAATAAAGAACTGTCTTAGTCCTTAATGAATTAAACATAAAAATGTAATAATATAATTAAAACCCAGACTTCTGCTAACATTTTGAGGTACGCTGGTGCAGAGATGGGCTTAAAAGGGCATTCTAAGCAGCCTAAATATACAACAAATATGCTGTTATCCTGCTCTTAAGCTGTGACTGCCAAAATATTTCCTATTATCGACAAAACTGGAGTAACAATACAAGCTGCATGAAATGCCCACAACAGAGAACATTTTAAATAGTTACACATACTGGGGCAGGCACAGATGGTTCTAGATGTCTCCCAAGGAATGAAAGCAAACGTCTCCAGATTAATCCACTTCCCAGGAACATTATTCCTGTAACCAGCCAAAACACTTGTGGATCCTACAGAGAGTAACACTAATCAATATACAGAAACATAATGATGCTACAACGCTGGGATAAGAAGTCATTTTATGGACACGTATATTGCTACCTGTGAGAGCCACAGGCAGAGTTAACCCTTTCAGCATTTAAAGGGACACTCCACTGTCCTAATACAAAGTAAATAAAAGTCACTATTTAAGAGAGATATTCAAAATAAAAACTTGCATGCATTCAATTATACATTTGTTCATCGGGGGTATATCTAAAACAGATTGCAAAATCTGCAGTTCTCTTCTCTGAAGCCGTTGCAAACCCTCCCCTTCTAACCCCCCCCCAGACTTTCAGGCTGTCCAATCACAGACTTTTCAATGTAGCTCACAGAGAATTCTTCACAAGGTGCTCTGAGCTATTGCTGCTTCTTGAGTTCAGCTCCACTGAGCAAACCAAACCAGCTCTTTTGGCAAAATTAGAAAAAGAAGACACATTCTTTACACATAAAGCTAGCTATTGAGGCTTGGCGTTACTTTCAGAGCACAAACCAAGAAAGTTATGCCGCAAAATGCCAAGCCTTAATAGCAAGCCAGTAACCATCCTCATGCGTGGTTCACTGGCTTTGTATCTCTTCCTCAGTTCTGTTTCAAAGTTGTTGTATAACATTAACTCCAAGTAATCCATGTGTAAAATATTTTTTTCAATACAGTTTTTATTGTGATAGTCAGATGGAAATAGTATATCATGTACAATATCGTTCTTCATTATTTATTTATTTTAATGTAAAATGCGGACATCATGCTTAACAACTTCCAGGAAGAAAAAAAAACAAACACAAAAAACAATTATAATAAGCCAAACAAACTAGAACTATTGAGGAGATGTGAACCAAAATATGAAAGACTTAAATTTGATTTAGCTTACCTCTTCGAAAGAAGACTCCAGATTCATGCCAAATGCAACTCCAATAAGGCCAAAGAGCGAGAGAGAGAATGTCCCCATGGTTAGCTGCAAGTTTAGCCTCATCATTACATTACGATGGCTGGAAAAAAAATACCCATTATAAATGCTTGATAAGGACAACTGTCTCACAGGATCCTACAACTTGCTTGCCAGGAAATATGCTGTGTATTTTAAAGACTGAAGGTAATGAGGACACAATCAGCCCCACGAAAAAAGGCACAGAGTCCTTACAGACTTCTAGTAAAGCAATGCTTCACCAAGAGGATATGCTAATCCACTCAATGAGATCTGACTTACCTTGTGGCATTTTGTGAAAGTTACAAATCATACAGTGCTACATAGGATTGTGTGTAGGGAGTGACTGTGCTGGGCAATAATAAATAAAATAATCATAAATATCAGCAGAAAGATACCAGACAAGGCAAAGTTGTGGGTGCCTTGTGTTTTATTTTGTACATTACTCCTCCTCCTTTAATTTTATTTTAATTTTAAGGAAAGTAGCTTCCTGTATTATGGGAGAAAAGTATTCTAAAATAATAGAAACACTCTGTATGTAAACTGCAGACTGTAATGGTTATGTTGCCAGGACACCCCTGGTGCTGTCCCACAGTAAGTAGTGAAATAGTTTTTTGAACAGTCTGACACTCACCTGAGCCCATGGACACATCTGCTCTGAGTACCTCTGCAGCTTGGTCCGCCTTCGCTAAGGTCATCAGCCTTGATGACCATTTTATCCAATCAAATGCTTCTCATTTAGAAGCACTGCAATCTGAATGCGCGTGCCTAGAAATTGCTGTGATGCACCCTATACTATCAGTGAAGAACCGAGTCAGACTCTTTCTCACTGTGGAAGCACCCTCTAGTGGCAATCAGGAAGACAGTTACTAGAGGTGTGTTTAATCACACAATATAAAAAAAAAAAAAATTAAATATTTTACAATGTGTGAGATAAATGGCAAGGCCCCTGTACCTGGACTATTTCATCGAGATGAAGTGGTTTGGGTGATAACTGTGGTAAATTAACATAGCTCCCTAAATCCTAGATATATTCTGCTCAAAACTCACCTGTCTAGGTTGATGAAAATTACACTTTCGGAGTCATCAATCAGAACTCTCAGTTCTCTGGCAGCATTAGCCAGGTCGTCTGCCTGACGGTAGTAGTTGTCAAGCAGCAACTCCATTTCCTCTGCATGATCCATCCTGGATGTACCTTCTTCCCTATGCTCATACACAAGGAGGAAACAAAAAAACAAATTCAATGATAAACTACAAGATCAAGGAAGCTGAACACCTAAGCATTATTCCCAACGTTTTGGAGTAAATGTGTTGGCAACCTTGCTTCTAAACTCTCAAAGATTTTTCAAAATTTTAACCAATTACATGCTGGCTTCAAGTCGAAATATGAAGAACACGACAAGCAATTTAAATGCAATATGTTCTTTGGATGGTTTTTAAATTCCACTCTTTAGTATCACAGATACAAATAAATGACTTGCATAAAATACATCTGATTTAGATTTTCTTGAGCAGAGCACTGTCTCTGGCCTAACTGTTGAGAAATCCATGTATTTTGCTCTTTGATCATGAAAGTCAGTTAAAGCAAATCTGTATATATAGTGTTAGAGTAATATAGGGGTGATTTAGATTAAGGCCCCATCTCAACCTATCGAATATATCGATATTACAAACCTATAGTCTCTAGACACACTGCTGCTTCTCACGAGACTGAGATTCTCAGAGTTTTCGGGTGACAATGATAAATCTGTACACAAAAACGTATACGTTGTCAGCACGTATAACAGAGACGATGAATAGCAGCAGCCCTGCCTTCCTGACATCCCTTCCCCTGAGCAGAATAAAGTCATGGTAGGAGAACAGGGTTGCAGGTAGAACTCAATTGTTTTTGCCAGAATGATTTCTCCAATATAAAACAAAGTGTTTGATTAAAACACTGTCTTTGGTTTAAGTGAACCTTTAAAAACTCAGTAGGTAGCTAACTGAAGAGAATATAATGCTAACAATTCAGGGAAAGCATTAATGCACCATAACCAGTTCAATACAAATAAGTGGTTTATACCAACAATATCCCTTTAAGATGAATTTGGGACACCAAACTAATTAAATATATGTTTAACACATTCCAAATATGACATTAATTTATTTGAATGTTTTTTATTAATATTATACAAACTGTTATCTTAACCTTAGGGGTATCAGTGGGAAATGAGCTAGATCACATTCATTATGTTTGATGCAGAAACAATTGGATTGGGATCACAAAACCTTTAAACACTTACTATAAAACAGACAACGATGCACGAGATCTATACACGTTCTGGTTATTCCTTTTTAAATTCCCCACACAAGGAATGCATTCTGTGTATTTAATTTATTGTTTGCCTAGGTGAATATATTGCTACAGAGTCATGCACATTGACAAAGTTAATTTATGCATGAAAACTTTCAAGACTCACCTTTAGGCAAATGAAACAATACCCATCTGGTAATATGTATAAATCAGCCAGAAACTTAGGTAGGTAATCAGAATTGGGTTCATGTCTTTGATATATATATATTTACAGACAAAATACCGTAGGGAACAATTGTTCTAAATAATGCGCTATGTTCTGCAAGTGTTCCTTTAAGAACAAGGCAAGGTGTACTGGAATCTTTAAAGAACATATAGTGTCTCTGTGTTTTGGTGTTAATCTTTGTATTTCTGGTTAGGCGTGTTGTATATTTCTTATGTACCTTTTCTCTATGTATTGTCAAAGTGTTTCAATACAATTCAACACTCTCAGCCCCCAAAACACTTAGTAGGCAAGATATTAACACATGCATACAAGCTGATCAACCATTATCCTATAAATGGTACGTCTTTAACTTTTTCACATATTGTAATAAGTGCTGCTGCAGATTTTACAATGCTTTACTGGTTGGCTAGGTCCGCTGCTTGCAATATTTTCTATAATGTAAGTCAAGGGCCACTATTGCTATTTGATGGAGATATTTCATTATGGCTGTTATTAAGAGAAGTTTTGGTTTACATAGCAAAAACATTCAATACTCAGACCAGAGTCATACATCAATAAGCAGCATGCAGGGCAATATAATGTATCTTACAAACTCAATACACCCATATAAACAACAACTTCTTTATGAACTGCAAAGCAATATGCTGATCACCCTTTAACACTCAAATGTTTAAGTCATATAAAAATAAAAGGGAGAAGTGCAAGCTATAATAAAATACTTACAGGACTTGAGAATCTGTCCGTTTGGTAAGGCATAGCTCTTCAATCAATTCATCTTCGTCAAGGATTTCTAATATTGCTTCTTTGAAAACCTTAATATCTGTTTCTAATTCTGACAAACTGTAGTAAAAACAAAACACATGATAAAAAAAAATAAAAGCTTGAATTTTTATAAAATATATTGGATACATTGTTAGACACAGATCTGCACACATCAAACAAGCCATAAGACTTGCTTTCCCCACAGAAATCTCACATTTTCAATGCGATTTTTACTGTAAGGGATTCTGGGTAGGTATGTGCAGATGAGTTCAAACAATCACATTTTTGAGTCATTTACTTCACTTTATACATTGATTCCTGGTTAGGTTACTAGCCCTTCTCCGATCACATGGGGAAATTGTTTTTACTCATCATGTAATAAAGCAGTGAGAGTGCAGAAGCGTGATATATACATTAAAACTGCTTTGTTAAGCTCAAGTTGTTTTTATGTCTATAGTATCCCTTTAAAGTCCATGTATTAACATCAGTAATATTTTAATAATATAAGATTATCATCATTAGAAGACAGTAAAGCTAGCCAAACCTTACGATCCATTACAATAAAATCCACAGAAATTTGTTACAAATAGGAAGTGAATCAAGAAAAAAAAAGCTAATTTTACAATTGCCTTAGCAGTTCCAGGTGGATCTATAAAATATTCCCCTATGACTTTCTGAGAAAATTGTTTGGAGACACTCAATGCCAAATTGTACAGAAATTTAAAACTACATACAGTATGCTAATATAGTATTAAAGGAACACAACAGCTTAATGTAGTAGTTCTAGTGTTTATAATATGTCGCTGTATGCTTATCCTTGTAAACATTGCCTTTTCAGAAAAAGGCAGTGTTTACATTTCTGCCTAGTAACACCTCTAGTGGCTGTCACTCAAACAGTACCTAACTGCCTGAGTTCGGTACTGCAATGATGTGCATGGAAACACTGAAAACTACCCTCGAGATGCATTTATTCAATGCAATACAGTAATCAAATTTATTAAATGCAGGCCATTAGTCAACCCATAGATGTTGGTTTAGATATAACAGGTTTGTAATGTAATAATATACGCTTGACGTCGTTCTATAAAGTATAATTGAGTTATTTACTAAAGGAAAAATTGCAGGTAATTGAAAGAGAATTTCAAATTTATGGTCAAAATACACTATATGGATAAAAGTATTGGGACACCTGACCATTACACCAACAGGGACGTTTATGACATCACATTATAAATACATAGACATTTATATGTAGCTGGTCCACCCTTTGCAGCTCATCCCAAAATTAATTGTTCATGGTGAGCGTTGTCAAATGACATGCTTATTAATACACAACAAAGCATCGTGGACGCAATAAGCACATATAAAAGCTTTAATCCCTTAAGGAAAGAGGAAATTGTACAAGTTCTGATCAAATCAAAAACAAAACTTGGAATTTGACTATATATCTGTTAAACCACAATTTACCTCTTTCATATTAAGTGTACCCACACTTATTATATATAATTTTGTTCAGGAGAAATACATCAAATATGTATATGAAAATTTCATATGAATAAAGTGTAAGATATTTTTGTTATTTTCCAAGTGTTGCATGGTATTTTAACTGTGATTGTCATAATGCTCTTAGCTTTTACGGAAACAAAATAGACATTTGTTTTCAGCGATGTCTCCCATATACAAACAGTACTCCCCATTTCCATGGTTTATGGGGTTTTGGAAAGTTACAGGTTCAAATATAAGGCTTGAAATTACATTCTATGGACTTTCTGCATGGGTTGCCATGCAGATCCATCAATACACAATTAATAAAATCACATAATTATGCATCAATAATACATAAATACACACAGAATTAGAACCAAAAAATGTTTATTTATTTATATATATATATATATATATTTTTTTTTTTTTTTATCCTGTTGAAAGTTTGGGTTGCAAACTGAAATGTCGATCTCTTAACTGTGGAAAATAAAAGTTAAGTTTTACTTTGAAAACTTTTGGAGTCCTATCGCTATGCTATCTTGAGAGGAAGGCTACATTGAGATTTCTCTAGAAGTGTGTATTATCATAATAATGCAGTACATTATATTATCCAGCTATGGGATCACGGTGTCATAGCAATCACATGACTCGGATGGGCGGGATCTGCTGCAGTTACCACCATCGGATCTGGCATGGAAAGTAACTATGCCTGCTCCCGGGAGGGCCCGGTCGATAAAGCTTTGCTAATCCACTGTAATGCAGTTTGTAGGATGGCAAAGCATGCCCCAACGTCATTAAAGGGTCACTTTAGTCACCAAAGCCTCTACAGCTTAATGTAGTGGTTCTGGTGTCTATTACCTGTCACTGCAGGTTTTTCCAATGTAAATGCTGCCCTTTCAGAAACACAAACAAAAAACAAAAAGAAAGTTTGACATAGGTTTGTGATAAAATGGTTACATGAAAACTATCAAAATGCTCTAAAAATGGACACTCCAGGAACCATAACAACTTATTCAAAATGAAGTTGGTATGGTGCCAGGGGGTTCTTGGCTCACCTGAAGGGGTTAAACCGTTCTCTGACAGTTTAACCCCCAAATCTTAGTTCCAGTGCAGAATCTCCCTGCCCTTCAGTTTTCTAAAAATCTCTAAACCGGAAGGCTCTTACAGAATCAGACAGAGGCACCCACAGCATCAAGCTAGGATAATGGATGAGGATTTACTGACTGACAGAGCGTCAGCTGAATATTTTCACGAAATAAGTGGCGCCGCTGTCCAACTCTGCAAGAGCCTTCAGGTTTAGAGATGTTTACAAAAAGTTAACAGATATCACTTATACGCTTGTCTGTCAAAATATGAAAAAAACTAAACAAAAACGAACAAACCAAACCCCCCCAACAAAACTAACACAAGGGAAATAATTACAGCTCTAGCCACAATCACATAATGTATCATTTATTACTCACTTATTTGATTGCTTCTTGCCGGGGCGTTTGGTCTTTTCTTGAAGTGGCTCTGTTAACTCAAAACTTACCTTTCTCCTACTGTTACTTCTTCTCTTCCTCTTTCTGAAACGGTTCTTTTCTTCATTTCCGATCTTAGAACATAAGATAAAGTAGGGACTAATTTGCCTTATGTATTTTTCCTACACTTGACAAAGGGCAGTGCTTAAGGCAAGCTCCACTTCCTTTGTCAAGCTAACAAAGAAAGTGGAGTTTGCCTTAAGCACAACCCTTTGTCAAGATTTTTCAAGTGTAGGAAAAATACATAACGCAAATAAGTCCCTACTTAATATATTGGAAATTAAGAAAAGAAGAACAGTTTCTGAAGGAGGAAGAGCATAGGAAACAATGGTAGAAAGGCAAGTTTGAGGTTAAAAAGATACCTCAAAGGTGTAGTGAAAACCTTATTGCACTAAATTTCTCACAAACCAGACTTGCCTTTTTCCACTTTGAAGCAAAATGTGCAATTTGCTCCTATCTATTGACAGTAGTTTTGGATCCACCAATGCTTCCAACGTTTCCATGATATGAGGATGCAAAAATTGTAGTCTCCCTTGAAGAATGCTCATCTAGATGACAACATTATCCTTCATAAGCATTGGAACAGTAAGGTAATGATTTCAAAATAAATTAACATAAGAGTCCCATTTCCCAATACCATTTAAACCTTGGAGAGAATACTTGTATCTCCTTTGCAATCAGAGTTAGTAACTAAACACATGGAATGCTATAGGTTTGCAGCTTGATTACTAAACAGTAAATTGAAAAACATGCTAAAGAAACAGATTCGAAAAAATAATTTAACTATAGTAACAGCTTGGATACTTTGAATTTTGCAATTCAATGTTTGTGGATTATCCTTTAAAAATTCACGGCTAGACTTCTGTTGATTGGGAATTTAAGATTGTCCATGAAGTTTGCAGTCTCAATACAAGGGTTTTAAAAAGTTTCTGAATCATCAATAACTTCAAGGAAGAATATTAAAAACATATAACTTCTGCAAATTTTAAACTGAATGGTTTTCCACAGAAAGGGTAAAATAAAAGGCTTACTCCAATTACCATGACAACTATGGTGCTTGGAGTCTGTACATTGTGTTTTGCCACTGTTTTGCCACTTTGCTGCCAGAGCTGTAGCTTCATCTTTGGCAGCATAATTGGCCAGCCTAATGTCAATTCTGTGCATATTTCTATTTACAGAGTTGCAATAATTGGCTGAGAAAGCTCAGCTGATGCTCTCAGCCAATGAATGGTCCATGGGATCAACATATGGCTTCTGCAGCTTTGTAGAAATCTAAGGTAAACTGGTTACAGAGGAACCTCAGATCTGATGGGGACCCAGGTAAGACGGCATAACATTGCAAAATGGTTTGCTGCATTACCGGGAAAAGGGGCAGGGTACTACTACAGTCCTTGGGCCAAGACATCATTATTAATACAGTGGGCTAAAGTGGTTATGGTGCACAGAGTAACCCTTTAATAAAAAAGAAAGGAAGGGTTATATGAATCAAATTAGGTGAGACTAGGATGTTATGCTTTTTTATTAACAATGTGTGGTAGATAAACTCACATGTAGCCTGTGAAAATGGCTTCTAAAGTGTTACCACTTTTTGAGTTGTAGACTAGAAGACTTGTTCCTTCATATTTTTTCCAAAATTATACAGCCATTTGTCAACCTCTGCAGTAATATGCAAGCCATGGCATTAACATATTAAAACCCCTATTATACAGTTGTTGTTCTGGGTTACAAAGTACACTATGACAGTAGGTAAAATGTCTGTGTCGTTCCCAAAAGGTAGATCCCCAGATGTTTTAACATCTTCCATGATGCTTCGTCATTCTAAAGGCATGTAAAGCATAATGGGAGATGTAGTTCTAAAACACCTAGGGATCTATCTTTTGGGAACGCCTGTTCTAATAGATCCAACTGTTGTTAATCATGGCCACGTGTTGAGAGAATATGGAAATGATTTAAAGAGCAGCATTGAACTAGGCTTCCCCAAATAATTCAAAGCATTTTTTCCAAAACTGTACAAAGTAACACAGCAGTGTTTCCATACTTAATGAAACTTTGTTTTACATAACAATTCAAAATAAATGATATGCAGGAGCTCACCCGATGTTGTAGAATAGCTTCCAAGGCTCTGAATTCAAAAGGCAAGGAATAGGTGACCAACTGACCTTCTCCAGCCAACTGGGGTGCAAGTTCTTTAAATAACCACTGATCCAGTTGGAGGTTGCGATAATCCAGTATTAGGAGATGCTCTGAAGTTATAACGGCTTTAAGGAACTGCAATACAAATGGCAAAGAATGTACAAGTAATGGATATATAAACATTCCAATAAAGACTGCCAGTAGAGAAATGTAAATAACAGGCAACTAAACAAAATATTAACATGCATAGCGGATCACTGGAAGGGAAATTCTATAAATTGTTTTGTTTTTTTACTTTAATAGCTTCTTAACAGGTGCTACCATAACGGCCAACAAATATACCTGACTCTTCACCCTGCACTGTGTAGTCTCTGGCTCTGTACTTCTGAACTATAGAAGCAAAGTTTAAGGATTTAAACTTAATTTATACCAGTCTCAAAGCATTTGAGAAAGAGATCCATATGATTAAAGATAAGCCTGTGAACCATGCTTCCCCTATGAAAAGAAATAAAACATGTCAGGTCTGACAGGAAGTCAAATCAAAACTAAGGTTCGACTTCAAACTGGAAAATTTCATCACGACTTGGTAGTACGATGAAATTAGCATTTTTTACTGAAGTTTTAAGAACAAGCAGCGATTGAATTTTTCCAATAGAAGCCAAACCTTTCATTTTGAGTTGGCTTTAAGTACCTGTGAGCTGACCACTCCCTATGCTATCTGAAAATAAGGAAATTATATGATTTGCAAGCAGCGGCTTAATCATTACACAGCATGAATTTTGGAACATGCTACAGGATAAAGAGAAGTATCGGATATAATCCTTAAAAGGTTTCTGACAGGAAGCAAAACACAGAGGTTAAAACAGTGTGTCTACATTCAACATTATTATAGAGACAATAGATATTACCATTACTACTAGAGAGATGTGAAATTTAAAAAAAATCCACTTGTTCAAGGGTCTAAATATGTAGCCCAAACTATGTGCCCTGACGCACAAAATCATTTCAATTTAGAAGGATTAAGACAGTGTTTCTCTGTCGTCGCCTCAACAGTGTGTGTGTGTTTCCTGGATGTGCTTAGTGTGAGCTGGCTGTGTGTAATGTGTATGTGGTAGCACTCTGTTTTACACCCCCACCTCGTCCTGCTAACGTTTCTGCACAGAGGAGGGATGCTATGATATTTGGTGCTCCAGCAAGGGTTCTGGATACTCTGGTGAGTACATGCCATAGTAATCACTCCTTCCAGAGCAACACTAAGTGAGTCAAAGCACAGGCTGGGGAACCCAGCAGATATGCTCAATACGTGATTATTGAGTGCAAGGATTGCAAAGGAACACTTAGTGGTCTGCGTCCACCAGAGGTGCAGACCACATACTCCCTACCTGGCCCTCCAGGTACCCCACTAGCAGCCGTACCACTTGCTTGCAACAAGGCTAATGAGAATAAAAAGAAAAAAAAATACTGCCTGCTCGGCTCCCAGAACTACACGTCCCAGGCATCATGAGATAGGAATTCCACATCTGTGAGCTGTCCATTCAGTTTAATTTCAATTAGTGACATGTTGCTATGGAATTAGAAATTAACGCAAATTCTGATTTAACTTTTAAAGGAGCACTCTGTGCATCAAAACCAGTCCAGCCTTTAGAAGAGTTTGTGGTGCTGTAAGGCTGTGCCCCTTTATGATTTCATATAACGTACCTCCATTCTTAAGATGATCTTCTGGTTTCTAGAGGTGATACTCATCAGATGCTGGAATCTTAGATCTCGAGCTTGAAGACCTAGTTCCTGGTACAATTCAGTTTTTTTCCTTTCTGGTAAAAAAAAAAAAAAAAATGATAAGCAATTCATTCATGATTTTAAGTGTTAAAAATGTCTGCACTGCAAAAAGCATTTTTTCAAAGAATAATAAAACAATTAAACTTAAAGGATAGAAGCATGTTATGTTGACGATTTATTATTTTGTAGCTCACAAACATGTGATAGGTCTAAGGTAAGGCTCGACAAATCCCAGGGATTTGCCAGCTCTTCAGCCGAGGGAGCTTTAAAGGCAGCCGCCGCGGAGAATATTGGAGCCGGACATCCTGAGGAGCATGGAGGCGACCGGCTGAGGCAGCATGGAGCCGGCTGCCAAAAATGGAACATTGTAGGCGGTGTGCAAGGGAGCAGTACTCTGACTGCAGCTCCTCTCTGCTACCTTGCACTGTTTAATGATGCCGGGAGCTGGAATGACTTCACTCCGGCCCCGGCATCACTATAGAGAGCGTGTAAGGAGCAGAGAGGAGCTGCAGTAAGATTACTGAGCCTGTCAGTGTGTGTGAGCAAGCCTGTTGTCAGAGTGAGTATGTGAGCCTGTCAACATGAGTGTGTACGTAAAACTGTAGTGTGTGCGTCTATCAGTGTTTGTGTGTCCGTTTAGGTACCTGCCTTCTCTGATCGCATTAGGAAAGTGTTTTTACTAACCGTTGTTCCCACGCCGTGCCAGTTTCGCCACGGCTGGTTCCACCTCCATGGTTGAGATTATCAATCTTTATGATCTCAGCTAAGCCAATGCTTTCCCTTATAAAAGAATTGGGAGGATTTTGTGCATGCGCAGCAAATGTGCCAATCCACATATCCTCAGAGATGCATAGCATTAATGAATCGCTATAAGGAACATTCAACACCTCCATGCAGAGCTTGGAGACACTGAATGTGGGTACTGCACGTGGTGCAAATGACCCAGGACTATCTAATGGCCTTCTGAGTGACTGTCACTAGAGGTGTTACTAAGCAGCAATGTAAACACTGCCTTTTCGCTGAAAAGGCAGTGTTTACACTAAAAAGCCAGCAGGGACAGGCTATAGAAACCAGACAACTACATCAAGCTATAGTGGTTCTGGTGACGACAGTGTCCCTTTAAGAAGTGCATTTTTCTTGTTGAAAATGACTGGCTCCTAACTCTTTTAGCTGGCTTCTAGATTCCAAACAAATTTGTCAAGCCTTGGTCTCTAAGGATTCCAGCCTTGAGAAACAATTTCATGAACTGTTGCTTACCAAAAGACGTAATGCTCCCCACTTTGTCAAATTTGATCTGGAATGAAAAAATAGAAATACAATCATTTTATTTTCTACAAAGCAAGGGAAGGGGAATACATGCTCTATTATCTACATATAATTTTATGTTAGAGTAGGAAAATCAGTGCAGCTGTAGGTAACTACAAATCTCAAATACTGAGCAAAAAAAACACAAGCCCAAAATCTTGTCTTGAAATGTTCTTTTAGGTTTTTTTTTTTTCTAAGCAGCAACTTGCAGTACACCAACTTTAGATCACTACTTTAGTGTTACGGTGCCAGGTCCCATGGCAAGAAGTAAAACTGTTTTCTAATGTTTTGACACTCACCTCGTAGTAAAGTGAATGCTGGGAATTCCATGCTTAATAAAATTTTAAGGCCAAAATAGACAAATTGAAAACAAGATTGGGTGAATTTTTCCAATTTGGCTATTTTGTCCTTGAAGGGTCACTATGGGCAAAGCTCATTTCAATGAAGGGATTTGGGTGCAATAACCCTGTAGTAGTTTTAACCTTGCAATGTAAAACATTGTCGTTTTATAGTATCTGCAAGGTTTCCATTGCAGGGTTCAACACACCTTTAGTGGATGGCTTTCAAGCAGCCACTAGAGGTTCTTCCCTGTGAAAACAAAGTCAAACTCAGTTCTTCAATCAAGTGCTGCTCATAGAGGACATTTGATTGGACAAACACAGCATGTGTATCTCATCCCCAATGCATTCTCCCCATTTATAAGACTAGCTTGAAAAGAAACGCACCTTTTACAAGCCAGTCTTATGAACTAGGAGTCAATGATCGGCTGAGAGCCTCAGCTGACTGCTCTCAGCAGGACTCGTGCCTAGTGGCACTCCGTGCTTCCTGAAACTGATATTTCAGAAGCCGGATGCCGCCTGGGGGACCTGAGGATTGGCGCTGGAGGCTCAGTTTAATCCCTGAAAGTAAGAGTGCGCAAAGAGGCCTCCTGGCACCATAATAACTTAATTTAGATTAAGTTGTTTTGGTGCCTAGAGTGCTCATTTAATTGAACTTTTTCACTAGCAAGGGTGGTAGAGCAATAGAAAGGAACATATATTTAAAAAAAGGTTATTTTCTTCAGGACCATAGATTCTTAGTTTAGTGACTAACACTATGAAATAATTAATGTTAGTTGGACAACTGTGGTTACATGTAAAAATGACAAACAGCTTATCAGAATACTTACAATGGAAAATACTGGAGCCACGCTTGCCAACGTAGCCTGTGATGCATCAGTGGATGTATGCCGATTTATGTCACCTAGGAAAACCCATTTCAACAAATTATACATATGTAAGCAGTTTAAAAATAAAAATGTTTTCCCCAGCTTTGCAATACAGCTACAACTGCAGTTTGGTTTTGGTGATACAGGTATTTAAAAAGGTTTAGCTTAAATTGGTGGTAAGGAAACAAAGTAGTAAGAAACAAAAGGTCTGGCATGCAATTTCAGAAGTTAAAGCTTTATTTGCAGATCTGCTTACTTGGGTTTTGTTTAATAAATGCTTCAATATAGGAAAAAACTGGACTGACTATGTTGCTCCCTTAACAGGATTACTGACATCCTACATAGTAATGGAGAACCACTACAGGCTGTAGCTATATGAAGACTCACAAAGGCAAACGGCTGTAAGGAAGGGATCATTTACCCAATGTGGTTAATGAAAATTGAATTAAAAGAGCAATTAACTATGAAAAGTCTGAATCATAAAAGTTACTACGACCGTAGTGTTAGTTAGCCATTGTTGGTAATCACCTAAAGGAATTAGAATCTATGTTGAATATTGTCATGTAGTTCTATATTACCCCTCTGTAGCTTCAGTAAATCTAGTTAACCCTTCATAGTATACTACCAACAAAACAGCAAGATAGGAAGATCTAGACTGTAAGCTTGTTTGAGCATATAGTTCCTGTAACATTTTGTAACTGTCTCATTTGTTGTTAAATCCCCCCCTTTTAAGCTGTGGAATAAGTTGGGCTTTATAAATATCACTATTAATAATAATAATAAGGTCCTGGAGACTCTCCTTGCACACAGCATACATCTATAGTGACACTCAGAATACATTAGCATGTTCTATACCCCCACATTGCCATTTGAGATTACTCACCCATGTATGGATGTTTTTTGGATTTTAACACCCCAGATTCTGACAGCCATTTCGATGTAACCCCGTGTTCTCCAAAGCAGTATCCACTGTATCCTCTGCTTGTCCAGGTCTGTCTCAAAGCTCCCCATAGTATCCTCCTGCCGGCTCCCAGTCTGTGCAAAACGCAGGAAATATCCATGGAACAACACGTCTGGGGTCAGAGGAAAAAAAAAAAAAAAACTAAAACCCCGTTAAGCCATGACCTGTCTATTGACTTGTAAGACCTTACTTAGTGGAGCTCCTGACACTATACACATGGCCTCTCAGACCCGGAACCGCTGTCAGGGACGTGGTGCGGCATGGGTCTTTTTTTTTTTTAAACCAACTTTATCGACATGGAAATTATGTGTGGAACGACATGGGCTATGACTAGTATCTCAGAATAGTGATGTAACGAATTTAGAATACTTATTACAATTCAGTCCAGGTTTTGTTACTTGTTATTTTCAGAATGCATGCAGCAATAAAAAAAAAAAAAAGATTTCATATTATAAAAAAAAAAAATATTACATCATAATTTATTTTATAGTTTTAATGTTTAGTATTTGAATCCCTTTTCCTACACCTGATGGATATAAAATCCTCATTTTATATATTTTTTTCATTCTTTTGTTTTGGTTATTGTTTTAGTTTATGTGACACATTTGGTCCCTAATTATTTTTTCATTGAAATCATATTCGCTATTTCTTAGCCAGTCTTAAAGTCTTTATAAAAGGGTTAATATTTAAAAGCCAGGATGTTTTTTCTCTCTCTGCATAGAGAGCTATTCCTTATTCACTAAAATCAAAATAACTACAGCCTGCCTCTAATTCAGAATTTTTTAAAACAAACCTCAAAGGGTTATTTGTGAAACCAGGAGTGCATAGATCCCAAGTGTCACTATTTAGGAGAGGAAGTCCCTGCATTGGGTCCAAATTGATCTGTCTCTGTTTTCTATATAATGTCTCCTTTCTAGCAGCTTCAGGTTGTTGGTGTGTTTGAGTCCACGCCATAGCTCCACAGCACCTTTTAATACCTTAAAGTGGCACTGTCTGGGGACTTCGCAAAATTCACAGTGATTTTGTCATACAATCAAGTGCGTATAATCAGCATGGTCTACAATTATTTATACAATTATATAGTAGATAGCGTTCAATCAGTATGTATTGACAAATATAATCTTACAACAAACCAAACAGAAAAATGTGGACGGATACTGGGTCTATCTAGAGCAAAGATAGTGCCAATAATTTAGCGTGAGTTCAACGTAAAACATGGAGAGGAGAAAAAAAAGAGAAAAAATCTTGGGGGTAGATCATTCACAGGGCAGGTTAGTTCAAAAGATCACTGGCCTGGTTTGAAACTTTCTTAGTATAAAATCCATGGATCCCATATTTTTTTGTATTTATATAGAGTCTTTATATCTTTATTAAAGTATCATTTTTCTGCCTCTCTCTGCAAATTTATTTGAGTTTTTATTTCTAGCTAAACACATTTTTGCTGCTGCCAAGATGTTAACACATTGATATCTATTGTATCTTCCTGTAACAGGTAAATCAATATGAAACAGGAAAGCTTATGGCATAAGGCTATATTCTGATGAAAAGAGGGTTATTAGTTGTTCTTCAATACATTTTTTTGTTAGGAGCCAGTCTCGGGCATTCCCACCAGATGTGAATTTGTGTGCCTGGATAGTTTTGGCAATGCCAACAAAAATTATCTAAATTTGTATCAAACTTTGCAAGGTGTGTATGAACCATATACCATCTCTGTATTAACTTGAAGTATTGTTCATGTAGACTGATACAATGCACAGCGGTTCTCGTGATTCGCCAGGCATTGTTCCAAATCTCTAAAGAAACAGTAAAAGCACAGTCTCTCTCCCAACTGGAAACAGCTTTAGATTTATTTAAGGTAGTTCTCTAATTTAGAATTTTACCAATTATAGTAATTGTTTTAGAGTTAAGTTGTGTAGTATGAAGTATGTCTATTAATCCTGGATGACTTGTTAGATCTGAAGTAAGAAAATGTTTAATCCTAATATATTAAAATTTTTCTCGTGATGGAAGAGCATACCTTTCCTGCAAGTTGGTAAAAGATCTTAAGGATTCACTATCATAAAGATCTGAAATTATTTTTATATCTTAGTTTTGCCATTGTAAAATATCTAGATCATCTATATACAGTGGAAGAGACAAATAGGACTAGCTCTAGTAATAGGATTTAAGGTTTGTCCCTTTTCAATTCTCCCTCTGAATCTAAAAAAACAGGTCATCAATACCGATACTATTTGATTCGATATTTTAAGTTGTCTAAAATGTTCATAGTCCAGCCAGAGAAAAAATAGATAGCCATGCAGTAAGTCTAGGGGGACGCTTATGCTGGATAGAGGGGTTTCGTGTAGCATCCTCGTGGGCCCTTCCGGTCATGTGCCAAGCGATTCTCAGCCAGTAATGGTGGTGAGTGGGACTTTTGGGCTGCACGATCAGCCGATCCTTCTGCTGGGAAAAACTGCTGTGTGGGCTGGGGTAGTCTGTTGGGGAGTAGAGGGGTGCGGGCTTGTATAGGCCGCCATCCAGCCCCAGGTCAGTGCGAAGGCCTGTACATGCGGTCCGCAGACTCAGTGTCTCAGTGAGGCCGTGTCTTTGTGTGAAGCCTAGGTGTTACGTCGCCACCAGCGGCGGTCAAGCTTTTGGCGATGCGGTCGGTACCGTGGAGGCTTACTCCTTGCGGCCTTCGGCCTGGGAAGGTTTTTGGCTCGGTCTGTGTAGCTTGTTCCGTGGTGACCTTGCTCCTCCTTTCCCGCTTCGACATCTTGTGCCACTGCCCCATGCTGAGTCTGCTCCTGCCTGTTGTGGTTTTCCAGGTGTCTCCAGAACCTCTGGAAGAGCCTGTCAAGCTGTGCCATAAGGTGGTCCATAGGGTTAGTGCCCTGGAGATGGGTTTGTGTGCATGCTGGTTGCTGCAGCTCGGGTGCCATTTTGTGAGGCCTTCCGGCCGTGTCGCTTCATTTGTGGAGTGGCCCGTCAGCCTGCTGAGCTGTGAGTCTGGGGTTGGTGGGGACCGGGATAACCCCCACCGGTCCAAAGGGGGGGGGAATTGCAGGGGCCCTTTCCGAAGTTTGAGTGTGTTGCGGCCAAGAGAGAGCGTGTATAATACCATAGTCCTTTCAGCAAATGGACCTGTAAGTCCAAACACCTGCAGAGTCTGAGCCATAAATCTCCAAGTTAGCCTGTCGAACGCCTTTTTCGGCGTCTAAGGCCATAATGATAGATGGAGTTTTCTTATGGTGGATTTCATCTATGATGTTAATGACTCTGCGGGTGTTATCTTCCCCTGATCTTCCCACTACAAAGCCCACTTGATCAGGATGTATCAAATCTAAGATTACTAAATTTAATCTCTGTGCCAGGATTTTAGAATATATTTTTGTCTATGTGAATTAATGAGATTGGTCTATAATTACTTACCTTAGTAGGATCTTTGCCTGTTTTTAAAATAGGTGAAATAGTGGATTTGAGCATATCTTGAGGAAATCCATTTGATCCAACTATGGCACCATACACGCGTTCCAACAGAGGAGTAATCTTAGGTTGTAATATCTGGTAAAAAAGAGCTGTGAAGCCATCAGGACCTGGCGCCTTCCCCCCTTCATATCATTAGTTGCATTCCTGATTTCTATCTGGGAAAAAGGTTTATTAAGTAAATTTCTTTTTTTCTAAAGATAGTACTGGGAGGTCTAGAGATCTTAAGAAATCTTCCATATCTAAGTTGGTCTTATTAGGTTCGGGTAGGTTATATAGAGATTCATAATATGCTCTAAAAGCCTCAGCGATATGGAGAGGAGAAAGACAAACCACTCCCTCATTTGTTATTTGTTTAATTCTATTTCTTTGATCCTGGGCTTTTAATTTATTTGTTAAGGCTCTATCTTTCTTTATTATTTGAATAATACCATCTTTGTTTAAGACGTGTTAATCTATAGTCCGTTTGTTCCTTTAGTTTGTTCTTAATCTCTTGTTGGATGATTATTTCTCTACATATTCCAGGAATAGGATGTAGCTTGTTTGTTCTCTTCAGACCGGCAAGGCAAATATGGAAATCAGCCAGTGATTTACCTTGTTTCCGTTTCATATAGATTTCCTGTTTAATCAAATAACTCTAAGGAAACATTTCAACGAGCACCATAGGGTGAAATCTGAGACAGCTTCATTATCATTCTCTTGAAGACAAAGTTCAGAAGCCTTCAATAACTCTTTCTTATCAGACTCAGAAGTTAATATAAAATCTTTTAATCTCCATTTTGAACGACTCTTATTATAAGGATTATTTTTTAAATACATAAATACAGGGGCGTGGTCTGAACAACTTCTATTCCCTATTTGTGAGTTGATACAAAGATCTGAAGATGTTGCTTTCATAAGGAAGAAATCGATTCGGGAGTATGAATCATGAGGGTTTGAAAAGAAAGAGAAATCTCTTTCCTCAGGGTGTTGTATTCGCCATATATCATATAGATTGTATCTCTCTTGTTAATTTTAGTATTTTTAATCAATCTCTTTCTGTCTAACTGAGAGCAAGCTATACAGTATAAGTCTCCTGCCAAAACAAGAGTAACCTTAGAAATCTGTTCCACTATTTGCATAGTAGAATCTAAAAAAATAGTTGGATGATCCGAAGGTGCATATAAGTTCACTAGGGTAAATGTGATATCATTGATCTTACAAATTAAAATTAGATATCTCCCCATCATCAGAAACATGGTGAATATATTCAAACTTGACCCCTGAGGATATTATTATGGCCAACCCACGTTTTCTCCTACCCAAAAAACTAGATGTATAAATTTTGGGATATTTACGGTAATTCCATAATCCATTCTTTGTATCTTTCCAGTGTGTCTCTTGAGTGAAACTCATGTCTGTCTATGTGGTGTCTAATCAGGAGATCTAACAGACATGCTCTTTTAAAAGGTGAATTCAATCCCTGTAAATTTATAGTAACTAATTTTAATGATATTTATCCCCATTTTCCCACCTAAGAGAGCCTCCTTCGCATATGAAACGCAAAACACATATACTCTATTTTGACCAGTATCTGTCCAAAAACATTAAGGTTCATTACGTTATGGTGTCTACAACAATAGACACCAACTACATATATTCTCATAGCATGTAGGTGGAATCGATAATTTTCCATCTCGTGCTAGAAAAAGTCCCTATGAGCCACCAGGGGCATCGTGTGGCACTATGTCCATGAGGGATGTTAAGTTTGTTATATGTAAACATTAAAATCAATCCAACTGCTGCAGTATAGTAAGCCTAGCAATGAGAAGAATAGGGAGGTCTCCATAGAGTCTCCCTGCTCTTATATATATATATATATATAAATATATATATATATATATAACATCAATAAACTAGCAAAAAATTGTTGTAATACAAAGACTCCAAACTCTATTTAAAAAAAAGTCTCCCTAGAGGGTCATACATTTATATCGTAAATAGATTTTTTTATAGTAAATCCCCCTCTGGGAGAGAAATGTGGGAATTATTTTTCTTAGTTTTTCTCCTTCCTTCCCCCTTCCCCGTCCTTCCCCCTTTTTCCTCCTACCCTCTTCCCTCCCACTTTCTCCTCCTTCCCCTTCCTTCGTGCTATCCCCTCTCTCTTTATCTTATCTAACAAGTAGATCTAATGTATACAGTGAATACAGTGAATACAGTGAAAACTATAAAACAAAATTCAAATATTCAAAACCTGAGGTATAATTAGAGTTAATTGGTATTATCTTCCGTATCTAACTATATTATTCCATTATATATAGTACCTAGTGTTTCTAATGAGTATTTATAATATGTTTCATCTCTGTATTATTGTTATCTTTATAAAAAAAAGTGTATTTAAGCCTGACTTTTATTCTGGTGTTCCAATATAAAATTGATTTAAAAAAAAATCACAATATATAATGTGATTCCAAGTGCCTTTTCAACATAGTGTTAACTTAGTGATAAGACTTTCCATAATATTTGATAAAAATGCCATTACATCACGGTCCACTATGGTCCGAGGAAGAAAAATAAATTTTTTTTTAAATTCAATGTTTATGGATCTCTATAGAGTATTCCTGCTCTTATATTTAGCATAAAAACTAGCAGAAGTTTGTTCTAATACAAAGACTCCAAATTACATTTTGAAAAGGTCTCCCTATAGGGCAAAAATTTATATCTTAAATAAGAGATTTTTTTTAATATTAAATCCACCTCTAGGAGAGATATGTGCAAAGTAATTTTCTTATTTTTCTCTTTCTCTAACCCCTTCCTCTTCCCTCCCCTTCCTTCGTGTTATGCCCTCTCTCTTTATCTTATCTAACCAAAAAATAATACCAAAAAAACCCAAAATATAATACCTAGTGTGTCTAACATGTATTTATAATGTGTTATATATATTTGTTTTCTTTCTTTTCTTCCCTTTTCTTTAAAGTCATGAACTCCATTGGTTAACTTGATCCATTTAGTTGTTTTGTTCCTTAAGTATTTCATTTCTTTAATCCCCATCCTTTCAATTTTTGTTTAGCTTGGTTTAGGTCAACACAAAGATGGAATGAGTCTTTGTAAAAAATGATCAATTTGGTAGGAAATCCCCATTTATAAGGAATGTTATTTTTCCTAAGACATTTGTTTATGTCTATAAATGTTCTCCTATTCCCTCTGGTTGTTGGTGATAAGTCTACACATGTAGAAATGGTTGCTTATTTCTCTTCTTTAGGTGGATTCTTATGTAGTTCTTTTGTAAACAGATCCTTAATTCTTGCATTGTTAAACCGAACTATCACATCTCTTGAGAACTGGGGCATGTTTGGTGGTCTTGGTAATCTATGTATTCTTTCAATAGGATATGATCCCCAAAAATTTGTGGTCAAAATAAATCTTCAGAAGATCCATTATAGGTGTCCAGATTTTCAGTTGTTTCTGGTATGCCTCGGATTTTTAGATTTTGTCTCCTTGACCTATCCTCAATATCTTTAACTTTCATTTCAAGTTTAGCAATATTTTGTTTTAAAAAATCATTCTGAAGTTGCAAATCTGTATTTTTTTGCGTTGTGTAATTTCATGAGCCATTATTGATCGGATCTGGGAGATTTCCTCCTTCATTGCTGCTTGATTCTTTTCCAGATCTATTTTAATTTTACTGTATAGATTCTCTCATGCTTGATTTAAGTTGATATTTGTTATTACATTTGACGAATCTAAAACACTTGAATCTAAAGTTTGATCCAACAATGGTCCAGGAGATAAGCCTTGAGTATTTATCTGTGATTTGGAAGAATAAAACGAGCTAATAGGTTAATCTAAAGATTTATCTGCTCCATACTGCTTTTTTGCTTTATCCGTCTTATCACTTTTAGGCGCCATTTCTTTTCAGGTGGTAAAACAAAAAGCAGATCTGCACAAACAAAGAAACAAAAAAAAAAGTCTCAGGCAATATAAATTTGAGATTTCCCCTTCTCTCTCCTTCCTTCTCCCGTTCTCTTATTGACCTCTTGTATGCATATATAAAAGACAGGAACAAACTTTCTCTTTCTCTTTTTTTCTTTCCTCTTTTAAAGATGAAAAAAAAAAGGAACAAGCTGTTTTTTTTAAAAATTCTTGATGTAATTGTTAAGAGTCTTTATTCACGAGTTTCTATTAACCTCCTATTTGCATGTAGAAAAACTAAACCAAGTAATTTAGAAAATTTTGAAGTAACTTAATCAGCAAAATAAAGCTTCTTGATGACAATTAATCAGTATAAAATTCTTTGTTCACTGATTTTGTACTATTGACCTCTTATCTACATATAAAGAGACAAAAACAGTGAATTTGAAGGATTTTTGATGTTACAGTTCTCCTATTACTGGATTCATCAGCCCGCCTGTACACAAGAATCTTTCCAGCTTCTTTAACAATTTTTTGTAATTTTTTTTTTCTACTTCTTATTTATAGCATTAGAGATTGGCATTTATCTTACTTTGTCTGAGGAGCCAGCGTTTTCATTATCCTCTGTGATGAAAGAATTTAAGATGTTTTTTTTTCACAGGGAATTAGCTGTAGTGCACCCAGTCATCCAGGCATTCATTGTGTACCTCATATCTTAATATGCAGCTTGCCATGTGGGTAATAGTATAGATGATAAAAATCTCTGTATTGAGGGCCAGTACGTGCCAACCTTTCAAATCGCAAACCTCCCAGTTTCTCCCAGGGCCACACCATTCCAACACAGCTCTGACCAGGCAGCCATGTCTGTTGAGAGCCAGCGCTTGCCGACCTCTCAGACCTCCCAGGATCTCCAGGGACCTCTCAGCTCCGACAAAACTTGGTCTGCTGAGAGCCAGCGTGTACCAACCTCTCAAACCTGGTAGAGTGAACCTCCACAAAACGCACAGCTCAAACACAGCTCTGAGAAAATTAGCCTGCAGCAAGGGATTCTACACATGTCCTTTCTCCCTCACAGACTCACGCCTCGCCCACATGTCCACACGCTCTACGTCATCATGCTGCGATCAAAACCCCCTTTCTATAAAACCCCCTGCCCCCTCTACAAAAACTCTGCACCCGCTCCTCTACAAAAACCCCTGCCCAACCCCTCTTCCACAAATCCCCTGCCCAGCCCCCTTCTACAACACCCCTTTCTACAAAGCCTCTGCCCAGTCTCCCTTTTACAAATCCCCTGCTCCCCTCTACAAAACCCTGCACCCCCTTTCTACAAAGCCCCCTGCCCAGCCCCCTTCTACAAACTCTCCCTTCTACAAAACCCCTGCCCAGTCCCCCTTCTACAAATCCCCTGCCACTCTCTACAAAAACCCTGCACCCATCTAAAAAAAATAAAGCACACCTCTCTAATAAAATAACCCTGCTCTTGTCTCAAATAAAAGGAACCTGCACCCCTCTACAAAAACCCTGCACCCCCTATTCACTAAAATCCCTGCCCTCCTCTCCAAGACCCCCACCCCCTACAAATCCTCTGCCCCCTCCATTTACAAAAACCCCTGCCCCCCTCTCTACAAAAAACCCTGCACCCCTCTACAACCTCTACAAACCTCCTGACAACCCAGACAGCCCCCTGTGGCTAATCCGCCCCTTCCTGGCTACGAGATCGCGATAACATTGTGATCACATGGCCAGATAAGCTGTCTTCTGGACTGCCTTTGGTTGTGCATTGTAGACAGCATGTATACATTCTTTTTATCTGTGAACCGAAGGGCCAGCACCTCATCCTGGCGTAGAGATGAAGAGGAGCCTGTTTCTACGGTTTCTGCCTCTTGCCAGTGTTTGGGGAAACTTTTGCGTGTTTTATGCACTGTGCCACATGCAAGGGTTTCAAAACAAAAAATAATTTTTAAAGTAAATTATATATATATATATATGTATATATATATATATATTGTTAAACAAGCTATTTTACTTTGAATTTCATCAGGAATTCGTCAATATATATTTTCATCTGGGATATAATTTTGGAAAACTTATCAGACAGGTGTCTACAAAAATATTGTAGAGTGTGTCAATGATTGGGTAATTTCTACGGGTGCACAGTGCATTGTCATTAAAATCAAGGAATGGCAGCATTTGCTCATACTGATCATAACCCCTAGAAAAAGAGAGGTGTCCAGGATGAGGGCCTTATGCTAGTAGAACCTTTTTAATGATCTCGATTGCTAGGGTTAGTGGCCAAAATGTTCTCATCTCTGAGAGATCAATGGGGTGCCACATGTTTTTCCTGCTATAGTGTTACTCAGGATCAGCAGACAGATACCGGCTAGCATACAGATTGAAAAGCTAGAACAACTTTCATCTGGTACAGAGAGGTGAGGTGACCATCACTGGAGGCCTCACTTGGAGACTCTGTCTCAAAGGTTGTCAGAGTGTCACAGTCAGCCATGTCAGATGTGTCACTCTGCAAGAATGGTCGATGTCTCTTATGCCATATAGTGTGTCATGTTATGAATTTTCTGTATATTCTCCTACCTGCCGACACCGACTCCCTCACCACCCTCAATTTCCACTGACACCTACAGAAAAACCTGCACTCAACCCAAAAATGTAAAAAAGCTGTGATCAGCACTGTGTCATTTAAAAAAACAAAAACAAACAAAAAGTGATAGCTTGATCAGAAAACACTCTAATTACACTGTTACTGATACAGTAGAATGCAGTGTAGATACAGTACAGTATAGTGATCAGACAGCAGGGAAAGGGTTAAAATTATGTTTGAGCCCGACTAAAAAAAGTCAAAAAGTATTTACCCACAACCCCCCCCACCCCCCAAAAGATTACTAATGTAATATTTACAATAATCATAGGATTAAAAGTACTGAAAGAGTTTAAAATTTTGTTTTCACAGATATGTATTAAATCACACAGGGACACTGCAACAATGATCTCTCTGCCTCTCTTGCCACAGATCAAAGTGAGGAAAAGTAAGGGCATAGAAGATTGTCTCAGCCAAGGTTATAATTCTTTGGCTGAGTCATTGTATCACGCGATGACAGGCTGTCAACGCGATCAAGTGACATGGCGATTGGCTGCCGGGCAGTCCTCTGACCATAATTGGCACCATGGGTAAGTCTGGGGGGAGAGGCAGGATAAGATTTTTAGGACATGCTATGCCGCTTTAACATTTTTAAAGCCTGCTTTTTGTTGGACGGCATAGCATTTCCTAACAGCTGCAATGAGTTAAATTACAATAAGGGTGTTTAGATGTGCTGCACAGATTGTTATTAGTAAGTCACCTCAAATTTCTTGGAATAGCTTTGCCCCTGACCACACCCCTAATCAAGTCCCCAAAATTAAAGTGTCTCTATTTTCCTAACTAACATGTTGGATGCTATGGAAGTGTCAAAGTTCATGAGTAATAGAAGGATTAATTGTACATTGAGGTAGGAATAGAGGGTGGGTTGAATAAACTTTATACAGGTACACATATGAAACAAGAGGGCACAAATAAAGAACTTTATATAATGTGATAATGTCATTTATTGATCCCTTTCTACAATGAAAATAGACAAAATCTCTCATTACCTGTGTATATGATGTTCCTCTATATGCACAATATCAGTATGCGTATTTCAGTGTGCAAGCAGTGTCAGTATGTGTATATGTCTGTGTTTCTTTTGGATTGGCATGTGTATCATGTACTGTCAATATGTGTGTACGTGGTCAGGGCCGGTTTGATGAATTTATTAATTGGGCATTTTTAAACCTACAAATGTATGTATGTGTGTATTTGCTTATTTTTGTTTGTATTGTATTGTGTTTGAATTGGTGGGTATAGTGAATGTTTGCTGCTGTGTAAATGCATGCAGGGTTAAAGACAATGTTATAATTGGTCATGGTACAGAGGGGTTACGTTTAGAGAAGGTTTAATGTCATAGTTTGGTTACATAGGGTGTTTAGTGTTAAAAGCATTAAAAGTTTGAATGGTATTGTAGTTTTGGTATAAGGGGTGGTTAGAATTATTGGTTGAAGGTTGGAGTGGGGTTACATTTTTTATTAGGGTACATTCTGTTTTTAATTTTTAAGAGGAGTTAAACAGAGGATAGAAGGACCACTATAGTCTCCCAAACCACTTCATCTCTGTGAAGTGGTCTGGGTGCAGTGGTCCTTTAGTTTTAACCCTACAATGTAAAATATAGTTTTTTTTAGAAACTGCAGTATCTGCATTGCAGGATTAAATCCATCTCTCATGGCTGTCTTCTTGACAGCCACTAGCTGCTCTACCGACAGAGTAAAACTCAGTTACATGACATGGTAGCGCAGAGGAAAGCACTGAATTCAATGCTTTCTTATGAGAGAAGAACATGCCCATCAGTTTCCTCTAGCATTGGACAGGAGACAGAGTGGCTGGCAGTTAAGGTAAGTAAAAAACATTTTTGGGTGGGAGTTGGACAGCAATCTGCATGGACACGTAGGTGCTGAGCTCCACTTGTGGCAACCTGGAAACAGTTACTTGAGAGCAGAACAATGACAGCAAATTGTGACTACACTTAGTCCCGACGATCCCTTCCACCATGTTAATCCATCTCAATCCAAGAAACAACAGGTGCGAAAAACTTCCTTCGCTCACTTGTCCTCTAACAAGCAAAAACAGGCAGCGGTGCAAGGTGGTGGAGCCTCACATCGGGCAGCCAGACTGAGTTTGCAGATGAGGATCAACCTTCCTTATATACTTCCATGATACGTAAACATATGGGTGATTTCAAAACATTTCTTGCACTGGAAATAGATCACAGTGCTAAAGAAGTTAAAGCAAGGTTTTAGCATCGGCCAATGAACAGTGTAACTTGAGAGATGGTGGAGACAGAGAATATTTTGAGTGACTGCCACTGGAGGTGTTACTGGGCAGTAATGTAAACACTGCATTTTCTCTGAAAAGCCTGCAGGGACAGGCTATAGACAACAAAACAACTACAATAAGTTTTAGTTGTTCTGGTGACCAAAGTGTCCCTTTAAGAATTGCATTTTTATTGTTGAAAATGACTGGCTCCTAACTCTTTTGGCAGGCTTTAAGGAATGTTCAAATATATTTTTGGACCTCCTTTAACAATGTTTATCAAAATATGTCTCTACTGACAGCAAGACTAGTAAAGTAAGACATTACGAGTAGCTTAACTGTCATATATATATATAAAAAACTTGGCAACTGGAAAGGATAGTGTAGTTACATGAATAGAAAAAGGCAGTTCATCCAGAAAAGATTGTTTTTGTTATTCTTCAGTTACTACTAGTGATTATTTGCTGTGGTTATGACTTGCTATCATATTCATCCCTTGTTATACAGATGATGACAATAGTACAATGCAGTGTTACCTTCCAAGGTGAAACCTGTTCCTTTCGTATATTACTATTCAATGATCAGGGCTGGTATATCTATATCGGCATTTGTTTATAAATAATTATTTTATCTTGACGTAAAGTCAATTATACATTGTTACATTGCTTGAGAAATATGATCTGCACAGGGACGGTATGATTTAAATTAATTTTTAATTCTTCTGACCACACAAAGCCTCAAATGAACTGATACAATTTACACCTAAAACATGCTCTATGTGTGATCTCCAATAGAACGTTTTTATTGTGTTATGAGTTTGTTGTGAGTTTTAGACAATTGTAAGATTGTATTTTCTTTATTACATTTTAACACAGTCATGAACAAAAGTCCCCTTATTTAGCACAATAAGTATTAATATATTATTTATGGAAGTCTATAACTAATTCTATATCAATATGCTACATACAAATTTATTTGCATCCATGTCAAAACATTTTGTTGTTTTGCTTGTAATTTCTGGTCCATTTGTAATCTTTGGGTTTGGTTCACAGTAACAGGCCATCGTTTTTTCCCAGACATTGCATTTCATCTTGAAGACAGAATTTTCATTTTTTTAAGATACATTCAATATAAGATTTCAAATTCATATATCATAACTCTATATAATGCCTGTCCAACCAAATTATCAAATGGTGCTAACAAAAGTGCAAAATTTAACTCATTATTTTATATCTTTTCATTAAACAGTGATTTGAGAACTTCCATAAAGGACAAAGGCCTATATTTGTATATAAAAAAAAATTATTTTATTTTTTTTATCTGTTGATAGCATGGTGTTTTTTTTTTTACATTGCAATTTTTATTATGAATGTTTTTTTATCTAATGAAAAAAAATACATTGTTACGTAAAAGGTATATTGTTTGATATCTGAAAATACGGTAAAACATGTAGTATATATTATACATTCACATATTTTCTTTTTTTTTTTTAAGGGAACAACTTAAAATGAAACAAATTTTTAAAAGTAAAAAAAAAATGAGTGAAGATGTGTGAGGTTTCATGGTGGTCTGGACACAGTCACGGTCGGCCTATGTCAAATGGTTGGGAATCAAAACTGATGCTATTATTATGACAATTTTAAAAGGTAACCATTTAAACATGTATAACAATGGATATGTCACAATCTGTCAAGTGTATCACGCATAACACAGCAGGGTTTTGGACATTGGGTATCTTCCGGCTCCGGCATCAGTACGGTGCGCGAGGGAGCTGAAGAGGAAGCACACAGAGGAGAGTGCTCCCTCGCGCGCCCGCCGGGTGTCAGCAGGGCCAGCCTCTGGGGGGCCCTGAGGTGACTGGCTGCTGGGCCCCCCAGGAGAAGAGGCTGGCCCAGTGGGTACATACCGGGGTCGCAGATTGCATACACCTGTCAGATGATTAAATGGGCAGAGGATCACAACCAGCTACTAGTTCAGCAGCATACCAGACAGTGTACTCCAATGTGCTTTTTATAGTGTTTGAAGGACGTCTCCAGGGTGAGAAGGTATTGTTTCCATGTAAAGAAAAACTTTTTCATGAACTCTTTATTATTCAATGTATTGATCCATTCCATATTGAAAAGATGGTGGAGCCTAGTTAAGAAAAGTGATGGGGGGTGTTTGGCTGGTTCCAGTGTTGTAAAATGGTCTTGCCTCCTAGTCCCCTTACTATGTGTGTAAATTTCTGTTCAGGGTTCTTATTGAAGGGAAGGTCCAAAAACAGACAAACCCGTGGTAATTAAAACAGAAGGTAGATTATGTGTCTTATTTTTTACAACAATCCAGATTATTTGAATACTTCGACAGTCCCAGTAACAGTGATACTTTCACTTACACTTTCCTACCCATTTTAAATAATTTGAGGGGTGTATAATAAGCATGGTGTAGTGTTTTTAGTTTTAGTGTCATTTTGTGGTATGTGACAAATCGTACGAATTTGACTAGGTATGCATATTGTTTGAAACGGTCCTCAATGCTCAAATCAGGGAAGTATGTAGCCATTGTGATGGGCCAGTTTTTAAGGTATTCCAGTCAGTAACGCACAGTAAGGGTATAGGTGTGAAACGTAAAACGAGTCTTTCGAGTTCTGCCAGTCAGCATCTTCGAAATTATTTATTACCTTCTCAACATAGTTCCTCAATTGGAAGTAGGCAAAGCATGGGATAGGAAGATCTGTGAATTTCTCATACATAATGAAAGGTTTACAAAATTATCTAGTGAAAGCTTCCCATGACCAGCCCACACTGAAAATGGTTAATTGTCAGCACCCTCTTGAAAGCTGGGGTCATTGATGACTGGCAAAAACAAGACCTGGTAGGGTGTGCCCACATTTTTGTTACAATTTTGTATCAATCTTCAGGATTTAATTGGAGATAACAATAAGGGATTAGTGACTATTGGTGGTGTTAAGGAAGATTGGGGTGTATGCTTTTGTATATATATATATAGTGTAGTGTAGTATTCTTCACAAAGTGAAAGAGTGGAAAAAAAGGAAATGCACAAGCAAATTTCAGAAGCTATCAAGAGCTCCACTTCAATGCGCGTGAGAGGTACAGTCCCCCTTATGGATTCTTGCTATATTCCTTATCAAATGTATAATTCAGGATGTATAAAATATAAAAAGACAGAGATGGACTAATATAGTGTAGTTTGTCTGCGTAATATAGATAACATTTTATAAAATAAGATTGCACGCACATGTCGGAGCCTATATGTTGGCTCATATTGTAGCGTGGAGTACTTTCCTTTGCTTTAGACTAAATCTTCTTTCATCTAATCTAAATACTTGACTTCATGTCTTATATATAGTCCTGTTTATGAATATTCAGTAAATCACACACAGGTAGAATGGCATTTTTTTCTTTATTCTCTATGTTTATGAATAGATTTTCAGACATTGATTTGTATTGGCCCCACATATATTTGTATACCACTAACATATTCCCTCTGAGGCGCCTTTGTTCTAAAATAGATAGATTTTGATTTCTTAACCTGTTTTCATAACTAAAATGTAATAATCAGCGACAAGATTGTACATGAACCCTATTGTCTGTTTGTCCTCTCCTACAGACTGCTTGGCTTCCAGCAGCTCAGCTCAGTCACTGCACTCAAAAACTGTCTTCCATACTATGTATACAGCTGTGGGAAGTAGAACTTACACAGAGACTGTACCTCTTGTGAGGGAAACAGCCTTCATCCCTGAAAGGTTAAACTATTTAGAACATCTCAGTAAATAATACTTGTGCTCACTTTAGCACAGACATATTTGATAAAGTTTTCCAATAAAATGTGATTAACACCACCTGTATGTGCCTGGCACAACTTTCTTCATGATTATTGATACATTTGGAATGGTCCAACCTGGTCTGGAGGCACTACGGAGGTAAATTTGAAGTGAGCACAGACTTACTGACAGCAGGGTTGTCTCTGTGCCCAGCACTCTGATTGGTTTCCACTGTGTCATTGCAATCTCACAGCAGGTTCTCACAGTGTTTTTCTTGTACTGTATAAATATACTGCCTGTTGTTCAATAAACCAGTATTGCCTTGTCCCTGCACTCTGCCTTGTCTAGTGGTTGGGTGCAAGATGGAAAGAGCTATTAATCACTTTATCTAGAATCTGGTCTAGTACCACTGAAGAAACTCAGGCTGCTAGACCATAAGTTCCCAGGTTGCTGCTGTAGCTCCTGGAGGTCCCTGGTGGGGACCTCCAGGAGCTATATGCATTAAGCAGGTTCAGGCCTGGATCCAAAGTCGGAGTACCCTTTTCCTGTTACACTATGGAAGCCAGCTAGGAACCATTGTTTGTTAAACTGGGGAAGCAAAAAACACAGGTAAAATCATGCCAGTTGCAGTTATGATGTATTAGTAACCAGAGTGCCTCTCTAAAGATGTGTAATGACAGGTGTTCAAACGTGCTGAACCCCTCGCTATCAAAATCATGTATAAATATTTTTCTTTTCATGTATTTTGCAGTATGAAATTTAGTTCATAAAGTCTTACTCGTTACACTAATTTTCACTCTAGGAATGATTACTAGCTTTTGGAGGAATTCATTTCTCTGTCAGAAGCCACTAGTCGGCGATATATTGCCTGCAGGTTTGGTGAAAATGTAAGCTCACTGCCTATTTTCAAACAGTAAATTAAGTACCAATGGGTTACGTCACTCCTTCTGTCAGGGAGGGGGAAGGAGTGAGTGGACTCTACCTTCCCTGTCAGCATTACATTATCAGTCCAGAAACTGATAAAGATTGATATAGCAGTTTTGAATACTTTATTTTAGAAATATATGATGCACTGCTAGTAATGCCTTCAGGGTAATTGCAAATACCTGTAAGCAACGTATAAAACCATTTTTATTTATCTATTGTTCTCAAACCTACTGCATGTGAAAAAAAAATACATTTTTGCTTCAATACTAACATTACAGACCCTGTGTGCAATACTAGAGGACACTGCATACTGTTTACAGCTTTTTATTTCCTTTTTTTTTTTATGAATGAATAAGTGAAAAAAAAACATTGTGCAAATTTACATCATTCAATTTTACGTTTTTATACAAAGCAATCTACACGCAAACTTGCAGTGTTATGATATATATATATATATATGCTAGCTATGAACTCTTTGCTTCAAATACATGGTGTACTAATATTGTTTAATCAAAAAGTGTTCAGTGATGAAGGGATTAATGTGAAATTCCTTAAGGTACACTTCCTGACCAGGGTACCTAGAAAGTACATGCCTAAGTGTATTAGAACCACAGTTAACATGAAGCCTTGCATAGATAAAAAGTACAAGAAATGCAAGTCCAAAAGAAAAAACAAAAACAATACTTACCACAAGGGGGAGCAATAGTTTTATTTGCATTATTACAAATTTGCTTATATAGGGTAAAAAGTGTTTCGGCTGCAGTATGGACCTCTTTCTTCTCTGCAAAAGTTTGCAGTTGGAGATATCTAAAGAAGTCCCTTGCTATCATGTGAGCCCTGGACTGGAGTTTCTAGAAGAGAATAACTTTTCCATTGAAATGTAGGTGTGTATACATCTCTAGATTTCTGTATTTTCAATTCCCCTAAAATCTATAGCCCTCATTCCATGGGAAAAAGTCATATTCCACAAAAACATTGACTGGTAATTTGTTAGTGATCGTTTAATTACCAGAGAGTTCCATATTCTTAGGAAGTTTGGAATGCCTGGTTATTGAGTCTGAAAGATGTCTCTATTAGATCTATTCAAATATAAAGTTGAAGAAAATTAAACCTCATAAAAAGTGACTCTAGAAGTCGGCTGGCATCTGGAGGCAGATACCAGGCTACTATCTGTGTGAGTTGTGCTGCTAGATAGTAGTTATAGATGTGCAATAGTCCCAACAATTCCTAGCAATTATTCTGCATTTTCCCTGCCAGTTTAAGCTACCTATTGACCTTTGAAGATTAGTTAAATCTTGTCTGGTGACACACTGGAAGGGCCTGAAATAGGAACAACATTCTAGACAAGACGTTCATTTTGATGGTATGAATGTGGCCTATCCAGGAAATTGCGCTGTCGCTCCAATTCTCTAGGTTTCTGATCAGAGTTTTTATTACTGGAGTAAAGTTAGCTTTATATAATTCTGCTATCAAATTTACTCCTAAATGCTTAAATGATGTGTGGGTTATCTGTATCTCATACTCTTTTTCAATCAGTGCCACATCCCTGGTCGACATCCCCAATGGCAGCACCACCAATTTGTTTAGTTTAACTCTGTACCCCTAAACCTTCCCAAACTCTGTTAATAATTCATGGACCACAGACATTGGTTCAAGAGGGGTGGTTAAAGAGCTTAACTCCAACTGCTCCACTCTGTGTAATATGTGGTTTGTATGTGTAATGGAGCCGTTGTGCACTGTGGCCATCTTTTGTAGGCTTTCTTCCAGGACCAATGTTCTTATCCTCAGTGCTCCCTGGCGCTCTTCTGAATCTCCTTTGCCTATAACAAGTGGAGGATCTCACCTCGCTGTGGCTGTGAGTGCTGTCAGATTCCAAGTAGCAGGAGTGGTGTAATGGTGGGGGAACTTCCGAGCTCGTCCGCCTGCCATTTTGAGAAATTGGGCATGAGAGCTGTGCAGCCACCAGCATTGTAGCTATGTTCTGGTGGGTTTCTTGTGGTGGTTTTTTTGGGCTTTGCTGGGTCTCTGCAATAATCACTTCCTTTTGCCGGTGCAGTTTTAACTTTATTGGCTCTAGTTTTTGTAGCCTGTTTGCTGTTATTCAGCAGTTGGCAGAGGAGCGATCAGCTTAAGCAGCCATCTTGCTCTGAGATCAGGCCACGCCCCCTTGTAAGGAGTTTTTTAACATTAGATGTGCCATGATGGCTGGAGGCAATGCCATTTCTTCTCTTTGCTACTATTGAGAAGTAAAGAAAGAATAATGCATAGTAAGAGCCTTTACCTTAGTTCTTATCCGCCACACTAATCCAATTCTGTCCTTTCTAATCTCTGATTGTGGTCCTTTGAACTGAATGTTATTGAACAGCTATAAGTTATTGAACAGTTTTGGAAACATGTTTTGTGAGACACTCTTTGATTTATTTTTACAATAAAAATGGTTTAACTCTGTTCTATTCTTTTTCTTTTTTTTTGCTGGTACCTACATTTATGGTTAGAAATATATCTTATTTCTGCAATATATATAAAAAAGATTGTAAAATTGATTTTACGCTTGTCTTATAAATAATTTTTGGCCAAGACACAAAAGAGCAGTATCTCAACACCACTGCGACACCCCATGCTGTGTTCATAGCTTAAATCTAGTAAACATTCTTGTCTTACAAAACAAACAAAAACATATTGTAGTACAACCATATTCTGCCAGTTTATTTTTTCCGAACACAATGCGGGATTCATACAGCAGCTTTACACGTTTAATTACAATTCAATGTAATGATGTAATAATGTCTGGTCAACATATTCCAAATGAACAATAGGAAAGTAATGTTATTACAAGACATGAATGCTCCTATTCTGCTTATCTCTTTCTTTACTTTGAGAAACAGCAAAGAAAAATTGACAAATAAATGGAAAACAGAGAGAATTTAAATGTATAATAACTTCACAACCAATGACCCATCAAAACCAGTCACAGGTTATAAAAGGTTCCATGAACATTCCATAGTCCTTTTTCTTTGATGTTCCTCCAAGGAATAAGAATCCAGAAAGCAATCATATTTATAGACTTATACATTATATTTCAGGCTATATCTTTCTTCATTGTTTGCAATTATTTATAGTTCCTTCTTTCAATATCTATATTCATAGACTGGTGGTTCTTGTGGCTATATATTTGTGTTCGTTTTTGTTCACTGTGTGTCCTTTTTTCTGGCTTAACCCTTCCATTATATATTTTAGTTGAGAGCTTTTCTGCTCTTATTTGTTTTATTTTCCTTTATTTTTCCATTTTATCTGTCCTGTGGCTCTATGGTGAGGTCTCACACTTGGCCGTTTACTCCAGGTTTTGTCATTTTCCAGCATCTCTCCTTCTAGAGGCTTTTAGACCTTAACAGATTGAGCGCTGTACTTCTCTTCAGCTACAAATTAATTGCGGTAGCTTCCTTTAGCAAATTTAGAGGCTACCTGCCTTTTGTTCAGTTGTAAATTACTAATTTCGTTTCTGTTTAGTCCTAGCATAGTGATGTGTAAGATGAAACATATACTTGTATGTGCTTTGTATTGTAAAGGAAAGCTATACTTGACCATGACATAAAATGTCATCAGTTAGCCTATGAAATTCATCGAAAAGGGACAAGTCTATTCAGCAAAATCACTAAAATAACCAGCTTGGGAATGTTATTTCTTTGAAAAAGCCCACTTTGGTGAAAAGCGTTAGTGTATTATGCTGTATATGTGTTTTATTATTCATCTTAAATAAAACTAGTTTTTTAACTCTATTTGGACCTTCCTGATTTTATCCCTGAAGATTTTATCCCGTGGATTCACACTTTCTTGGTGGGGGAGATACTACCTACACTGTGTGGGATTGAGCAAAACCTTCTTTTGCTATCTTTATGTGAGTATACCTTCTTTTATTATTTTTATTTTACCCATACAGAGAGTACTATATTCTGTTGTATTTCCATTCTATTTACTGGTGAATTTCTACTGCCATGATGCTGCACATTGAAGGAGAATAAAACCAAACACTTGCACCAAATGAGACTTATTTGCCTGGAACATTTCATTACAAAGGATTGAGATCATTATGCAGGATAACATTGCCCAGGCACACACATCTGGAGCTGATCATAAGCTCCAGAAAATTGTGTTACTCCTCTTATTTAATTCACAGGTTACCAAAGATACTACACTATATTATTTTTTGTCCTCTTATCTTTTATATTTGTTTCGCCACCACACGGATTTGATTCCACTGTAAAGGTGCTGCTTCCCTATATCCCTTTTCATACATCTACATCTTTCTGTTCAGATGTATAAGCTTATGTTCTATATTGTACAAACTGCTTCCACATGTATACTATTCTTTACTAAACTATGGAATGGAGGCATGGCTTGGTTACTGATGAAGCTGGGCTGCTTCATCTTTCTCTCCTCGATGACCTCACATTCACTCAGCAAAAATCCCAACCTATACTTTTGCTATGGGGAAAACTCACTGACCTAAGGCTATCAAGACTACCCAAGTCAGCAGTCTTGTGTCCACTGCTAGGAACAACAAAAACGTCCATTCTCTTCTGTCCATGGAAGTAGGCCTTTCCTGGTTGTGCATCATCACAGCTGTCATCTACGATAGAGTGTCTGAATCTGTATGTCTGTGTCAGTGTCTGAATCTGTATGTATGTGTGAGTGTCTGAATCTGTATATATGTATGGTGTGAGTGTCTGAATCTGTATGTCTGTGTATGTGTGGGTGTCTGAATCTGTATAAGTGTCTGAATCTGTATGTATGTCTGTGTGAGTGTCTGAATCTGTATGTATGTGAGAGTGTATGAATCTGTATGTATGTGTGAGTGTATGAATCTGTATGTATATGTATGTGTGAGTGTCTGAATCTGTTTGTATATGTATGTGTGAGTGTCTGAATCTGTAAGTTTGTGTATCTACATGTCTGTGTATCTGTATGTGTTTGTCAGTGTGTGTATCTGTATGTAATTGTATGTTTGTGTCAGTGTGTCTATCTGTATCTGTATATGTATATTTGTCAACGTGTGTATCTGCATGTCTGTGTATGTGTCAGTATGTGTGTATCTGTTTGTGTCCGTGTGTATCTGTATGTCTATGCAGGTGTATGTGTCTGTATCT